TCCTCTACAGGACTGTTGGTACTTGGTGGGGATATATTATTTGGGTTTTTCATGTTATTATTTTTTCACTGTGACTTTGAGATGTGGATTTCATTTATAGTTTCTGATTCTTGTGTGAGACTCAAGCCTTCCTTTGTTGAGTTTATGTCTGCTTCTATTTGTAAACTTTATATTCCTCTGTGGTTTACTTGTTGGGCATGAAAGCTGGTTGGTCTAGGCTTCAGGTGCTCTCTTTTGATTTTATATTGGAAGGGCTGGATGGCTTTGGTCCTGCTGTTCCCACAGAGGTCCAAGTCAGATGAGGATCAGATGCTTTCAGGCTTTCTCCTAAGGTCTGGATCCCTCCAAGAAAGATGTTGTACTCAGGAATTTGGGGGTTGGACTGGCCTGGGAGCAGGGCCCAGGAAAGATGCTGGTCTCAGGCAGCTGGTGGCCATGCCACCCAGTGATGCAAAGGGAGATGGGGGCAGGAAGAGGCCCCAAGGGCTCCTGGGGACCAGGAGAGAGGCTGGTGGATTGTGCAGGCCTCCTGAATTTAGTTTTAAGAGCAAAATCGAAGGCAGGTCCTAACCTAATGACATAAAATCATGCTAAATGTAAATGCATATATGGCAGCTTTGAGCTTCACCATAGAGAACTGCTGGAAAGTTAAAGCTTTCATGGTATAGTCAGATACCAGGGCTTTTAAAAAGGAAGAGAGATACAAAATAAGATAAGTACAAACTGGAAAGCACATACTTGATGCCTAGATGTGTGTCTCAGCTAGCTTTATGGACAGCTGAGAAGATAAACACCTGAGAATTTAAGGGGCAGATATGGTGCTTTTCTTTCATTCTGTGACTTTATTTTTATTTATCTACCTTAATTGCAAGCTGTTCTTCAATGTATGCCAAAGACATGGCATCCTGGCCATGTCTTTGGCATTCTAGAGTGAACTCCGTCTGCTAGAGTTTCCGTCCTTTATCATAGAAGCCTATAAACGCACAAATCCCAATAAATAGAGGACACAGTTGAGCGACCCCAGGAATATGTGATTGAAAGTTCTCATGTGCACTTACGCATTTTCAAAGGTTCATGTTGGTTTTCATATTAATGCAGAATAGTGATGTTAGTCTTATTGTTAGCAATTTTTTTTTGTTTGTTGTTAGACCTGCCTTCTCTTTTCCAGCCCATGGATGGTCAAGGCCATTTTCAGTTACCACCTGGTGTTTTCGAAAGCATCTGGTGAGAGAAATGTGCTATGTGGGCTAAGATAAGGAAGCTGTGTGGAAGCCTGAGACACAGGCTCCAGAGGGGCAGAAATGCTGTGGGGCTGGCCCTGTGTTAGGAATTGTTGCAGGGGCAGGAGGCTGGCTCTGCAAATTTTCCCTCAGAATGGGCACAGGCTGTTTTGAAAGAGCAGCTCTGTCACCAATTTATCTTCTTTTCCTGGCAGCTGGCATCTCTCTAACTCATTTCTATTCTATTTTGCCTGTGGGTCTTCCTCTTTTCTCTCACTTAAGTAATTTGTAGATGATGTAAAGTGAGATATAAGTCAGTGAAAATTGTGGAAAATAAAGGTATTTAGTTACAGCCTGAAATCACAAGTTCAAATACTTCTCTGTCATTTGTTAGGGCATCACGATGGGCAAGGCACTTAAGCATTCTTAGCTTTGGTTCCTCATCTACATAGTGAGCATTCATATTTCATGTACTGTCTGTCTCAGGAATTATTGAGGATTAAATGAGAAACTGTAAATGAAAATGTTTTCTAGGGCTATGACGATGATTGTGATTACTATTATTTAAATGCCTTGTAGTCTATTCCGTACCTAGAAAAATGGTAGGATTCCCATTTTTATTGAACAAAAAGCTGTAAGTAGTTTATTCAAGTTCTTACAACAGAGTACAAAGGTAAAATATAGATGGAATTTTGTACGTGTGTCTATTTGTACATGTGTGTGGAGGTGCAAGGTTGGTGCTGGGCATCTTCCTCAATTGTTCTCTACTTTGTTTATTGAGGCAGGGTCTCTCACTGAACCTGAGCTCATTGATTCAGGCTAGTCTAGTTAGCCAGCTTGCCCTGGGGATCCCCTGTCTTTGCCTCCTGAATGCTGGCATTACAGGCAGCTGCCACTCTTGCCTGGGTTTTATGTGGATTCTGGAGATCTGAACTCTGGTCCTCACACTGGCAGAGTGAGTACTTTTTCCACTGAGCCATCTCCCAAGGCCCCTACGTGAAATTTTTGAAGAAGCTCCAGGCTGTTAAGTAAATCTTTTGTATTTTAAAAGCCTGTCACAATGTAAGTATTTTAGAGAGATATATAATGGTTCCTGGAAATATCTGAAATGCCGATCCTTTTATAGATGTTTAAGAATGCAATTTATTCTAAATGTCTAATCTTGAATGATTAAATAATTTGCATACTGTTTTCAGTGGCATGAATTAAAGGCTAATTGAAGTATAATTCTTTACAGTAAAATTATATCATCTTTTATGTAGTGTAGTATATTTAAAAATATTCTAGCCAGTTCTAATTTTATAGTTTTATTATTTTAATTAAAAATTGCTATGAAGAAAAGAAGATGAAAATGATTTTACTTAATTTCTTCTTAACAAACTGAAAAGATAAATGGAATAATGAAACAGAGCCCAACACAGTACCTTAAAGATAGTCATTAAATGTTCCTTAGTGAACAAGAATAAATAATTTGAAGTATTTCTAGATTCTGAGAAAAGGCCCTATTCTTAGCACTATACAAGATACAAAGAAGATAAGTTGGCATCTTTATATTAAAATATTTCTAACTGGGGTCATACAAGCCGAGTGTTACTGGATCAATAGCTCCTCAGGTTGCTTTGCTTTTTTCTCTTTGCTCTTAGGGTAGGTTCTCAGGCCTGTGTCAGCTGCAGGTGTTGAGAGACACTTCTGCACAGGTATCCCATGTTTCTGTGCATCTTGCAAGCAGAGTCACCAGCTGTTCTTTGCCTGGTGCTAAGAATGATATGTGTATATGTAGCTTTGAAAAGATAGTCTCTCCCTTTAGTACAAAGTACAGGTTTGCTTATAGTCTTGGAAGAGAGAGGCATGGTCTCCCTGCAGCACAAAGGGCAGACATGTTTACTGTCTAGTCTAATAAGAGGGTTCCTTTCCTGTCATGTCACGTGTGTATGCAGGTGTTATCTCATCCTTATTGTGTCTCCCTCCCCTTGGGAATTGAGGCTTGGGAAACTGGCTCCAAAATGATCAGCTCCTTGCCACTGTTAACCTCTGTCCTTGTCTCTACCTAGAAGTGAATGGGCATCGTAGGTTTGGAAATGGAAGATGTGGTGAAATCAGGAACCCATGACCCGAAGTTCTAGTTGAAACTATGGAGTCTCTAAGAATTTTCGTTTGATGGGGTTTGTTGGGTAGATCTAGGCAGAGGCTGTAGAGGAAGAAGGGAGAATGAGTTTGCAGAAGAAAGAACACTGCATGAAGCTTCAGGCAGGCTAAAGTCATTCATGCTTATTGAAGCTGTAAATAATAGTGTGGACACATACAAACTAAAGCTTATTAGGTTGCTGTTGTTTTTATTTTTAGCCAAGGGTATACCTTTTTATGAACACCTAACTTCAAATCTTAATCTTTGTTTAGTAGAACACGTTGAGTGCTAGAAGCTGAAAGTAAGCCCATTTTTGGAGGAAAGGTAGATGACAGAGTGGCATTTGCTTACTTTGCTTGCACCATCCCTCTTCTATATCCAAGCCTACCCCAGTCTTTATAATTTCTAGAAATACTGCCCTAACAACACTTAAAGAACACATATGCCACACTAGGCTGGTCAGAAAACTCTGGCCTCCATACTCTTGGCTCCCTTTCACTCTGAGTTTGAATGCTTACTGCTGCCTCCTAGGAAGAGCCCTTTACTCACTACCCTGCTACAGGAAAGCATTCAGGAATTGTTGCTCACATGTAGCATAACTTCCAGCTAGCCACATGATAAGACAGTTGTATTTACTTCATTCTACAGGAACTTCTATCAGATGTCATTGGATTTCTCTGCCACCTCCTAATGATGACCAGTTTTATACTGTGTCCCATTTCAATATCAACATAGATGTTGTCCTCTATGGCCGGAAATTCAGGATTTATGATTGTGATACATTTACAAAAAACTTTTTGAATAGGAACCAAATTGAATCCTCCAGGAAAGTGTCCAGTAGATCCTTACATGAAGATGAGAAGAGAGGTAAGAATTGGTGTACCTATAAGTTCTTGTTTGCGGAACAAGTCTTCAGATAGTCAGAAAAGGGTATTGGCACTCTGAATGCAGATGCAGAAGAACTTTGAAGACCATAGTTGTTAGAGCCATCTTGCTCTGTTTTGGATTGGAGGGAAGGCTGAGTGTGGGCCTCAGAATGGGAATGAGCCCCTTATTCCCCCATTTGCTACCTGCTCCATCTCTCCCCCCAGTTCTTTTTGAAGTGCCTCCCTTCAGGCAGTCAGAGTATGTAGAAAGCTGCTTAAGTGGGATAATTTCTAGAAACTCATGATTAGTTTGTGATCACTGTGAGTATGTAGTTGGGCCCACATTTCCTCTGCTTATCTTTTCTGTTTTTTAGTTGCCTATTTCAGGCTAGGAAAATCTTTTTTCTGCAATAGTGTCTGAATGAATCAAACCTTAAATACATCACTTTTCTTCCTTCTTGGAACTCTGGCATTGGATGCTGAAATGTCCTGGAAGTGCAAAGTGGGTCATGATTCTGATGTCTCCCAATTATGAAACCTGTTTCTGTTTAAAGTCTGACCCTAGTGTAAGGAGTAAAGACTCGGTGTTGTCTTGCTACAGTTAAAAAAAAAATCCCTTGACCCCATTTTCTATTTTCAAGAAGAAAAATATGAATAGTGAAAAGAGGAAGTATTATTGGCTAGGTCACATACCTGGCCAGTCTGCTTGTTGGGACTAGGATAGGAATTTCTGGATTCTTACCATGATTTTCATTATTGTCATTTGTTTCCCTTTTTAATTTTTATTTTTTTATGTATTATTCATTCATAGCTTTTTGAGATAGGGTGTCACTAATGTAACAACGGTTGGCCTTGAATTCACTGTGTAATCCAGGCTAGCCTTGAACTCACTGTTCTCCTGCCTCTTGAGTGCTATTACAGATACATGCTACCACTCCTAGATCTTTTTTATTGTTGCTGGAATATGACAACACACAATAAAATATACAGATAATAAATGTACTTTTGGATGAGTCTTAACAAATGCATGTACCAGTATAATCTGAATCAAATCAAGATGTTGAAATTTCCATTCCCTACCCCTCCCAGAAAATCCCTCATTCATTCGTCTAATCAATTGCTCTCCTCACTCATTTCTATCCCCATAGATTAGTTTCATCTAATTTTTATTGTTTTCAAATCTTGTAATTCATTTCCTTCCAGAAAGATAACATAAACTTTAGAATACAAAGATCAGAAGAGGGCATCTGATTCCCCTGGAGCTGGAGTTATAGACACGGTTGTTAGCTGCCATGTGGGTGCTGATAATCAAACCCAGGTCCTCTGCAAGAGCAGCAAGTGCTCTTAACTACTGAGCCATCTCTCCAGCTCCTATATTGACTTTTAAGGATTAAGTTCTTAAGTGTTTACTGCCTGGAAATGTAAAGTTAAACTATTTAACTTAAATTGAACAGGATATTAATGGTGTATGATCAATAATGTATTTCTTACCAGTCTTATAATACATTAAAAGCATTTTTAATTAGTGAAGGTAGAGGTCTCATAATTTCACTTAAATATCAAGGATGAGATTTGAAGAGCCTCTAGAAGCTATTGTGTTCTCTTGTTTTGCAGTCAGAGTATACCTAGATGGCCCTGGATAGACAGAAAATTTAAAGACTATAAAAAGATGATGTAACGTGATTGGAATAACATTTCCCTAATGAATCCTTCCTTATATAACCATGCCATTTGACTATAGCAGATAGAATGGAAGCAGTTATACTCTAGGACAGGGCTCGGAAGATGCAAAGTGAAGGAAAAGCTTTACAAAGGAGCCTGTGGAGCACTGTTTAAGGGCAGAGCACTGCTGAAGTGGGTCTCTGTTCTGTGTGGACCTGAAGTTCCCCATTTACCCTGCTCCTGTTCCCACTGGGCTAATATCCTTGATATCGGAAGCTGTTTGAGCAAAATTAGACCATGGATATAGCTTTTTCCTTTTATCCTCTAAAAAAATGTAAATGAAGCTGGGCATGGTGGCCTTTAATCCCAGCACTCAGGAGATGGAGGCAGGTGGATGTCTGTGAGTTAAGGCCAGCCTGATCCACATAGTGAATTCCAGGCCAACTGGGGCTATAGGGAGACACTGTCTCAAAAAGACCAAAAAAATGTAAATGAGTAAGAAATGTGTGTGTAGATAGATAGATAACTAGATAGATGAATTTCTAGTGAAAAGACACATTTTAAATTGAAATATAATTAGCATGGAATTGGTTATACAGATCAGAAATCAATACAGGTCAACGAATTGAATTAAAATATTTATATAACTAACCAATCTGAAAATCAAGTTGTAAAATATTTGGGGCGAATGTAGCTCACTAGTAGATCATTTCCCTAGCATGTATAAGACTCTGGGTTCAAATACTAGCACTACAAAAGAGATAGAAGAGATGGGCTATTTTTGTCACCTCAGAAAATTCCTTTGTTCCTCTTTCTGATCAAGTATCCTGGTGTTGCCTTTTCTTACTAAAATCCCTGTGCAGAAGCAATTACTGTTCTGGC